TAATAATGCAGCTGAAAAGCAGTAGCAGATTGGGTTATACTTTCTGTGATTTGGCTAGAATCCAAATGATCAGGATCTAGAACTTCAAACCCACGTGAAATTAATATTTTAACAAGGCTCCAGGAGACACCTGAGGGTGTTACATGCTGATGCTGGGCTTGGCCCTTGAGGCTGGGATGCTGGAGAAGAACTTAACCGTTTTCACATTTGGGATGTCAAAGTGTCCAAATTCAGCAGAGCTCATTCTCTCTTGCTTTTACAGGGAGTGGCAATTTCTTCTCTCATCTCTGCTTCTTGATTATGTTTTGTGTGTCCCTCTTTTAAGAACATGAGCAGAGCCTGCAGGATCAGGCCAATGGTCCATCTAGTCCAGCATCCTGTTCTCACAGTAGCCAACAAGGTGCCTGTACAGTGGCGTAGCGTGGGGGATGCAGGGGGGGCCGGCCGCACCGGGCGCAACATCTGGGGGTTAGGGTTAGGGGGCGCAAATCCACGGGTTAGGGGGTGCAAATCCACGGGTTAGGGGGCGCAAATTACTTGCCTTGCCCCGGGTGCTGACAACCCACGCTACGCCACTGTGCCTGTATGAAACCCTCAAGCAGGACCTGAGCATCAGGGCACTCCCCACTCCTGAGGTTTCCAGCAGCTGGTATTCAGAAGCATTACTACCCTCCAACTGTGGAGGCAGAGCATAGACAGTGTGGCTAGTAGTCATTGATAACACTCTCTTTCATTAATTTGTCCAATCCTCTTTTAAAGTCATCCAAGTTGGTGGCCATCATTGCCACCTGCAGGACTGAGTTTCACTGTCTGTGTACTGCATAAAGAAGTACTCTCCTCCTCCTTCATCCTCTTCCTCCTCCTCAGTCCTCCAAAGTCCTGCCAATAATTGCTTCTCTGTAACTTTGGCACAAAATGTAATAACAGAAAGTCCTGATGACAAAAGCACAAAACAGCACGATCGCTCGCTGTGCTGCGGCTTCCTAAGGCAGGCCTATAAATAGGACGGGTGACACCGCATGATAGTAAAATTAGCAGTGGACTGGGAAAGCAGCCACAACTCACTAAAACACCCCCTCACACACACACACACAAACACATTTCTATTGCAGGGCTTTTAAGTGCACTCAAGTGGCACTTGAACGTTTTCGGGGGGAGACGCCTGAAAGTCAAAAGCGAGAATGCCTGCTGACTCTCTGCTGGAAGAGTGTTCCACAGCATGAGACCAGTGACGCTGAATGCCTGCAACAAGTGTACAATCTTTTGTTCCCAGTTGAGCTGTACACTCATATAGTTATTCACAGGCAATGTCAAACAAGTGTGAATTTTGCATATGTAACAGCTGAGCTGCATAAATCTACATGTGTACACTCTTTCACACAAACACTTGTGTAGAGGCAGCTTGCACCAGCATTCACTGCAATGTGTGTACAAGCCTTTTGTCCTTGCTCATGGGGGAGTCAGATCAAGGGCCAGAGCCAATTTTGCTGACCATTGAGGCTCGGCTCAGCTGAAGATATGGCTTCTGTTGAAATTTTGGTTGCTGACTGATGGTCTCCTTGCCATTATTCCCCAAAGGGTCAGGGTGGGTCACAAATATATTTAATCCATAACTTTACTTGTGCAGTTACCTCTGCTCAGGCTCGATATGACTATCTCTAAGTCTAGCATGAAAGGTAATGTCCACCAGCAACACAGCTCATAATGTCAACATAAAGTCTGATCCTAACTCCATGCAAACCTCTCTCATGTCACTAAGAGCACTTCTGGCTCCCTCAGCTACAAGTGCATTAAGTTCATTACATAAATTCCGTGTCAAAGAAAAATCACACCCTTCCACATGTGAAACCTATATACAACCTCCTGAAGAGTTCCCTTATAATAAAGGTGGAGGGGCATTATATTAGCTCCAGCCTGGATGTGCCAGTGCAACTGTTGGCTTTCATACTCTTTTAAGTCAGTTTTCACAGGTTGATTACAGATTTATTGGGTGCCAGAGTGAGGGGAGGGGAAGGATGCCACTTGTAAAGGATAACCTACTTCCTACATTGAAACTACAGCATGCCTTTTTAAATGTATTTTTATTGAGCTCTTGTAATATCACAAGGAAAATCAAATGGCAAACCAGCAGTAAGATGAAATGAAACAAAACAACTTGTTGCATAAGCAAACCACATTTCTCACCTTTACATATTATGGAAATACAGGGGGGGAAATGAGCAGAGGATCCCAAAAGATTAAGAAACAACTCATCTTCACACACACCTTCAAGCAACATGCATATCTTACCAGGTGTGGCCCGAAGTAAAAAGGTAGATTCTCAAGGGACGATGGGAGATGAGCACGCTTCAGGCATATTAAGACTAATAATATATTGCATGCATCCAAACAAAGGTATTACACACATTCACCTAATGGAAGATAAAGCTGTCAGTGGTTACCCTCTGTTTGGTGGAATGCCTACGAATACCAGTTGCTGGTGAGCTCTGGTGGGAGGGTGCTGTCATGCTCATGTCTGGCTTTTTAGTTTCTAAGAGGTTGGCCACTGTCAGAAAGAGGATGCTGGAGAAGATGGGCCTAGATGGGTCTGATCTCCTTATGTTGTGCTACATGCCACTTGTTAGCTGATGAAGCAAGGTACCCATCCCCAAATTTGACTAAATGATCAGGGTCAAACAATTCCAAGCTAGCTAGACAAATGGCCTGCCTTGGTATAAGTAAGCAGCAATACCCAGTTATGTGAAAACACTGCTGTTTTTAAAGTGTGGTGGCTTTAGAGGGGTTACACAGATGGACAGAGACGGACAAACGACCAGCCAAGGGGGAACCTGGAGGTGTGAGTGGAAGGGCCAGGTTGCTGGGTTCTCTAACCCAATTCCCAGTGGGAGGGAAAAGATCATACACACAAGGTTGGCACAGATGGACTCTTGAATATAATACCTCCTTTGCAAAATGATCAAAATTTTGCATTCCAACAGGCTAGTGACCTCAAGATTCTGTGAAATGCTATTACAGAGTTTACCTTTTGGCATGGGCGTTCCACCCTTTTGCTTACCTCCCCACCCTATCTTCCTCAGAAGCAGGCAGTTTTAGTGCTCTGCTTCCGATGTTTCAGGAAACATTCCTCAGCTATTCGAGTGAGCTCTGAAAGGAAACACTGATTCATGAATGGAGGCCAACAGCTGTGTGTTCTAAAGTTAACTCCTGGTTGTGGAGTGGGCAGGAGAGGAAAGGAAGGAAAGGGCAGGGAAGGACGCCTCTTTGTTTTCAAACACCTCGTCAGTGTTAGTCATGACTGCGGTCAAGGTGTAAGTAGGCCTCAGCTGTGGAATTTGCTGCCTGGCTTGCTAACCACAGAAACAATTTTTTAAAAATCCATTCCTTGCACACTCTGCAGCCATATATCCACCCATAAAATAAGGATAAAAACAGAGCACTCTCCTTTATTGTATTTTCTTACAGCAAGCAAAACAAATGCAGAGCTCTTTGTATAAAATATTGCCTCCCAAGCATAGGGAAAATAGTTTTTATTTAAAAAGAATGTCTCACTAGATATCCCTCCAGTCCCCTGCAGTGATAATGGACTCATCATTATTCTGGTGTGCTTCCTGTCAGTGGGTGTAGGAAAGAAGGTGTCTGGGGCTCTCAGGAGACATTTTTCATGGTTCAATGAATACAATTCTGATGGTTCTACACTGGCTTCTACGTCTCACAAATGTGTATTTCATTCAAGGTCACACTATGTTATAGGATTGTCGTCTTAAAGTACCATAATGTCCTCTTGGAATAGTTCACAATTTTAAACTGATGTTGGCATGGAAATATGCAGTGCTTTTTTTCTGGGGGGGATGCAGGGGTACGCATACCCCTCAACATTTTGTGAATCTAAGTTTGGCCTCATTGAGGGGCAGTATTTCAATATGAGTAGGAAAATGAGAGTACCCCTAAACATTTTTTAAAGAAAAAAAGCACTGGAAATATGGTACCACAAAGATGAATTAGATTAGAAGGGTTACTCTGGACTATTGAAAAGGGGGTGTGATTGTGAGAATGCTAATTATCCCCTTTGTGGAAGTTATGCCCTATGACGAAAGGTTGCAGGATTTGCAGCTTATTAAGTTTAAAGAAAATGCAAGTAAGAGGTGACATAGGAGAATTGTATAACATAATGTACAGAATGGAGGGAGTGGATAGAAAAAGTTTCTAATCCCTCTCTCATGACACTACAACTTGTAGCCATCCAGGGAAGCTGAATGTTGGAGGATTCGAGACAGATAAAAGAAAGTACAGTGGTACCTCAGGTTACAAACACTTCGGGTTACAAAAACACTTCAGGTTACAGAATCCACTAACCCAGAAGTAGTACCTCGGGTTAAGAACTTTACCTCAGGATGAGAACAGAAATCATGGGCCAGCGGTGTGGCGGCAGCAGGAGACCCCATTAGCTAAAGTGGCACCTCAGGTTAAGAACGGACCTCCGGAACGAATTAAGTTTGTAACCAGAGGTACCACTGTACTTCTTCACACAGTGCATAGCAAAACTATTGATTTCATGTTCACAGGAGGCAGTGATGGCTACCAACTTGTATGGCTTTAAAAGGTCAGACAATTTCGTGAAGATAAAGACTATCAATGGCTGCTAGCCAGGAAGGCTATCCTCTCCCTGCATGGTCAGAGGTTGCATGAATCCTGCATGAGTATGCTTCTGAATACCAGTTGCGAGAAACCACAGGAGGAAAGAGTGCTGTTGTGCTTGAGAGTTTCCAACAGGCATCTGGCTGGCCATTGTTAGATCAGGATGCCAGACTAGATAGGCCATTGACCTGTTCTCCTTATGCTCTAATTTGCTGCTGTGGTGCTGAAATCACTACTTGCATGCAACTGAGGAGCACAGGAATCAGCCTCACACCAACTCAGACCACTGGTCCATCTAGCTCAGTCTTGTCAACACTAACTGGCAGCACTTCCCCAAGGTTTCAGACAGAAGTCTCTTCCTGCCTTACCTAAGAATTCCAGGGATTGAACCTGGGGCCTTCTGTACTCAAAACAGATGCTCTGCCACCGAGCTATGGCCCTTAACAAAAACAGTATGAATTTGGATGAATTAAAGAAAAAGGGTGGTCTCAGAAATTTTAGCAAATTTGCCCATTTAAATCCCAATCTTATTCTTGATCTGGTTTGTTGGGGAGGGGCCTATGATCCTCACTTCCTGTCCAGGGTGATAGAGTGGTGGTACCTTTTGGAGAAGGACTGTAGCTTAGTGGTAGAGCACATGCACAAAGGTTATAAGTGAAATCTCTGGCATCTTCAGGTAGGGCTGTGAAAGATCCCTGCTTGGAAGCCTTCCAGTCTGCGTAGACTAGAAGTGATGAACCTGTGGTCTCCCAGATATTGCTGGGCTACAACTTCCACCATCCCTGACCACTGGGCCATGGTGGCTGGAGCTGATGGGAGTTGGAGTCCAAGAGCATCTGGAGGACCACACAACTTCCACCCCAACACAGAAAATACTGAGCTAGATAAACCGAAAATGGGGCTTGGTGCGAGACATCCTCACACATTCCCTCCTCTTTCAATCCAGCAGCAACCCCATTCTCATGCCTCTGGACAGCCACCAACACGGACATCCCACAGAAAGAGTTTCTTCAAGAAACCCATGCCTACTCTCTGTATTGCATCTTACGGGGCAGAGACACGTTTGCAAAATAACTCTCCAAGCCACTTAAATTAAAGAAGGGGCTTAGATGAGTTGTGCTCATTTTGGGCACTAGCACTGAGCCTCATCCTGAGAAACTGCAAACAGAAGCCATTAAGGAAAAAGGAGGAAGTGGGCTGAAGGCGTATTATCAAGATTAAACAGATAGTGTTGCAAGATTAAAGAAAAGATGGGCAGCTTTCTCCAAGAAGCAAAGATCTTAAGTGGGGAGATTTGCAAGGGATAATGCCCATGTAAGAAGCAAGCACAGCTTGGGCTCAGTTCCTAATAACTTCCCAGTTTACAGCAAGGAGAAGAAACCTCTCTGTGGCTTCTCATTTGGCAGCAAGAAAGCAGCAACAATTAAAGCAAGTATGCTTTGAAGGCTGGAGCCAAGATCCTGAGCTGACAGCCCAGCATCAGAACAGATAGGCTTGGAGGGAGATACCATCTTTTCAGCACTGGCTATGAGGGATTACTCTGCTTTGTGTGCCTTAGTTTCTAACTAACCTCATCACTTTGCAATGCCCCAGTGGCATCTCCCATACGCTTCTCATTCCCCATTAATTGGAAAGAAAGCCATCAGCCCATTTGGGGAAGGAGGTTGGGAACAGTTCAGAGAGGCATCCCCCCACCCTCATTTCACTCTATGGTTGGAAAGAGGCCACACTATGTAATAAAGTATTTGCACTATGTCAGATTAGAAAATTAGGATGAATCCCATGACACACACATTACGAGGCTAATAGCCCCATTTGTTTTAGAAGTGAGTGCTGTAGGTCTGCAAGCACCAACAGGATAGGAAGCAAAGAATAGGAATGCATCCATGCCCAGGCAACTGGCCCAGAAGACCCACTATTTTGCCAGTAGGCTCTGACTTCTTCCAGGGGTTTCAAAAGCACAGGCCTCTGTTTTATTTCAAAAGCCCAGAAATATTAGTAACCAGGTAAAATCTGGAACAGGGATCCTTTACTTTGCAATTTTCCAAATGTTGCAATGCAGTTCTCCAGCCAAGTAATGTGTACAAAAATGCATGCAACTACAGTGAAGTGTGCATAGAAATGCATATACAATAGCAAACATAACATCATACAAAATGCATTGTATTAGGGAAAATTTAATCTTGTATTATGTGCAATACAAGATTGCATATAAAAACATGGATAGTAGGAGAAATTCACAGTGAAGCACTGATGAATTTTCATGAGAACTTTTAAAATAAAACTGCACACTGGTGTGGGTATGTGGAAAACCGAATTAAACATTAGATTTATGAAAACATGAAACAGATAGATCCCCTTGTCCGTAAGTGCTGAGCATAAGCTAGACATGATTTTGTGCCTTGGTAGATGCTCCAGCCTTCTTGTAACCCTAGTGGCTCACCATATGAGGCAGCTGTACCAAGAGGAAGTGGGGGACTCACAGCTCTCGGAGCCCCTGGCATCTGGCAAGGGGGTCATGATGGCTAGAACTGTGGTTTCCCAGATATTGCTGGGGTACAACTTCCACCATCCCTGACCACTGGGCCAAGGTGGCTGGAGCTGATGGGAGTTGGAGTCCAATAACATCTGGAGGGCCACATGTCCTCCACCCCTGACACAGACAATATTAAGCTAGACAGACCAAAATGGGGCTTGGTGCGAGCCAATCTCACACATTCCCTCCTCTTGCAATCCAGCAGCAACCCCAGGCTGAGAATAGCTAAGAATTTGTCTCTTGTAGGCAGGTATTCAAGATTTAGATGGCACCCGTTCTCAATAGGGATGCTTGAGGAATTCTGCAGTTTCTAAAATGAAACTGACTTGATTAGCACCTCCTAGAGCAGCCTTTGGATTAGGATGTACACTTATCTTTTCAATTCTGCACTCCTCTGAAATTTGTGAAGTTTCTCAGCCCCCAAAATGTACCAAAATGCACCACGAAATAATGTGCATTTTAGGATTCAATACATGTAGAAATGTCTGACTTGAAATAAAAGGTATATTTAAATGCATTTTATATAAATATGCAATAAAATCCATATTTAGAGATGAATGTTGTTGCATTTTAAAAACAAAGCAGTGTTCTATCCAGTATTACACTCAGTTAAGGTCAATTTGCAGTATACCTTTTCCACCAGTGAGATGTTGTGCACAAGCAGAATGTTGTTTTTGCACAACAAAATGCATAAGAAGGTTGCTGGTAAACTGGTTGGCTTCAAATCCGCCAGGCCAGCCTGTGAGTAACAGGTAAATGATAAAGAAGAATCTGCCCCTGAGCACATGCAGAATGAGATTCTGAAAGCCCACATGCAGTTCTCACACCTGGGGGTGAATGAGCTTTCAGTGCAATGAGGTAATTAACACAGGAATAGGTGAGCAGCTGTGTTAATTACCTGTGCCTAAGAATTAATTTTGAAAAAACTTAGCAAAAGGATTCATTGCATGGTTACCTACCTGAACAAATGCTTTCTATTATATCAGAAATATGTCTTTGCTCAATCCTGTAAGCAATGACAAGTTTCCACATCTTTTGCAATTCTGACAGTAGGCAACAGCAAGAAAACCCTACTGAAATGTAAGGCACTGAAATAGATCTCTTTGGGATATCATAAACAATCTGGGATTTACACATCACATGATTTAATATGGAAACTTTACAATCATCGTTTTGTTCCGCTGCCACTGATTTTGATAGGCTGACAGGGATAAAGAGAACATCCACTGTGTTCATTCATGTGTCATTTAAGACATTCCATACACAGCTTTCCACTGACACGCCGAGTAATCCTTTACGACATCTTATTTTGATGGCTGAAGCAGGAAAGTGCCTTGTAAATCACATCCTTTCTGACATGCTCCAGTCACACTTTGGTAAACACACCATCTTATGTCAACTTTTCTCTGGTTACGCCGTCTGCCTCATCCTGTAATTTGCTTGGCATGATGGTTTAGAGGAGTTTAGGAGTTCCTCTCTTGCTGACTTGTAATCCTATGGTACATGATCTGACTTATAGAGAGTCAAAAACAGCCTCTTTGTGGTTTGCCGTTTATATTCTACGATAAAGAAGGCTGCTGCAGCTGCAGCAGGAATGTAAAGGTTGCCTGACATTCCTACGTATTTGGTTCACAGGGGAGAGAAGTGGAGAGGTTGCACTAGTTTAGAAGACTTTGTGAAACTTTCTCAGCACAGTTCAAAGTCAAGAGGCAGTGAAGGACATTCGAACTAAACAAGAATGTTCTGGTGGTAAGAGCTATTTGACAGTGGAACAGACTACCTTGGAAGGTGGTGGACACTCTCTCACATACACACATGCACACACTTCATTGGTACAGCTTAGAATATGCTCTACACCAGAGTTTAGCCAAGGTGGTGTCCCCCAGATGTTGTTGGACATCAACACCAGCCAGCAAGGCCAATGGTGAGGGATGATGGGAGTTGGAGTCCAACAATATAGCCCCACTGTTGAAGGTAGTCTGTCTCTGAAGCCTGCTCACCCCTTTGTGTGCGGCAGCATTGCGGGACAGAGGAGGCTTCACTGGGGCCCCAGTGTAGGAATTCAAACTGCTGTGCCCTTCCTGATAAGCGGAGGGGGCATGAGCCCCCTCCATCTATCAGGAACCAGATCCTAGCCTGCACCCTGCTTTGGCAAATGGGGCTGCAGGCTGGGACTTGGGCTGTGCCGAGAGCGATGCCGATGGAGCCGACAGTGGGCTTCCCTTGGATCTGCCCCTTGCCCATTTAAGCAGCCAGCACCTGGGGCTCAGCCTGTTTGTTCCTGCGCCGGGTTTCCCCATCCCACCCATCCATAGGTTAAACTGATAATCAGTGACTTTGCTGTGGCTATGGTGGTCACCGTCCTTCAAGGGGCTGGATAGAAATTTGCCCACCAGGCTAACTGGCACTGACCCAGTGGTTTTGCCTACCTCATAGCAATCGTCACAACTGGTTGGGCATTGGGGCAATCCTTTGTTTTGGATGGAGGGGAGGTTGTAGTAGTAGTAGTAGTAGTAGTAATTTATATCCCGCCCATCTGGCTAGGTTTCCCCAGCCACTCTGGGCGGCTTCCAACAAAATATAAAAAATACAATAAAACACCAACCATTAAAAACTTCATTAAACAGGGCTGCCTTCAGATGTCTTCTAAAAGTCAGATAGTTGTTAATTTCCTTGACATCTGATGGGAGGGCATTCCACAGGGCGGGTACCAGTACTGAGAAGGCCCTCTGCCTGGTAGTCTCCGCCTGCCCCTCCAAATGCTGGGGTATCCCGTTAAAGGCATCCAGGTGGAAGTGGCCATGTGTCCTGAGGGGGGCAGGGCTGAAGGCACTCCCCCAGATGGCGGTCCCTGCGGTGGTCACCCTATTGGATGTAAGTCTTAGGAACCCCTGCCTGAATT